GAGGGTTTAAATTAAAGTATTAAAAGTAGGGGGTGGTAGGGGGTGTTGGGGAAGTGAAAAAGGTAAATAAATCTGTTGGGGGGGCCCACTAGCCGTTGCTCCAACGGTCCCCAACGGATATAATTTTAAAACAAAATAAAAAATAAAAAATAAAAATTGAGGGGATCCCGCGAAACCGACCGATTCAGCCGGGCCGGGACCAAAGGGTGAACCGACCCCTAATCGGTCCCCTATCCCAAACCCCTCCCAACCCGTGAGAACTTATGGGACCGGGTCCGGCGAGCCGATTCTCGAACCGGTCGCGGGCCGGGGAGGGGCTGGCCGACCCGGTCCCCCTGCCAGCCCTACCCAGATCACCTCAACGATATAGAAAGGTGGAAAGAAAATATCGTTCCTTACAAGATATAGCAAGAACAATGTTGTTGGATCAAAATCTCCCTGATCACTTTTGGGCAGAAGCAATCGAATCTGTTGCCGAAGAGTTAGCTCCTGCAGAGGTTGAATCGACTACCCCAGCTGACAAAACCACTATCCCTAGGGAATGGAGATACAGTGCAAGCTACCTTGAAAATTTTATCTTGGGAAAACCAGATGATAAAAGTCAGACTAGATCTTCACTACGAAAGCAAGAACCAGAAGCTCGTGTATCCCAAATAGAATTCAAATGAATAAATGGATGAGTCATGGATACAAGCTATGAAACAAGAACTTGATCAATTCGAGAAATATCAACTTACAAATAAAGCAATTAGAAAATGGAATTTTCATCAATCAAGGAAATGCGGTTGATGAAAAACTATATCGAGGAATGACTGGATATTTACTATATCTCACTACAAGTCGATCAAACATCATGTTCAACATTTGCAAAGGTTTCAATCTGCCCCAAAAGAATCGCATCTCACTGCAGTAAAACGAATCAATCCGATATTTTATTGGAATATCCAAAATGGGACCATGGTATCATTTCTTTGAAAAATTTAATTTATCTGAATTTTTAGATGCTGACTTTGCAGGTGATAAAAATACAGTAAAAGCACTAGTGAAACATGTCAATTCTTGGGAAAATCTCTTATTTCCTAGCATAGTAAGAAGCAGACCTCCATACCACTTCAACTACTGAATCCAAATATCTTGCAGTTGGAAGCTGTGGTACTCAGCTTCTTTGGGTGACACATCAATCATTGGACTACAACTTATCTTTTGAAGACGTTCCAATATTCTGTGATTGTACAATGCTATTAGTTTATCCAAATATACTCTGTATCAATCCAGGGCATCTTTTTATTCGTGATCTTGTTGAAAATGGTGATTTCTTGCTTGGGTTTGTTGACTCTAAAAATCTTGAAATTATCGTGCTCAACAATAAATTCTTTACTCTACTACTTGTCTAGTTGTTCTTGCTATTTTGTTTTACTTTTTGATTATGTCAAAGGGGGAGAATTCAAATAACTATACTAGAAGCATACAAAAATGGGGAGCATACAGAAAGGGGGAGTTAGAAAATTGATAAACAAGGAAGTTAAACTAAATCATATATTTAAATTTGTCATTATCAAAAAGGGGGAGATTGTTAACTTATAATGTTTTGTATAATGACAAACTACCTTGTGTCGCAGGAAAATCAAGACTAGTGTATTTGTGTTAGATACACAAAATCCTACAGATTGATGCTTCAAGAATCAAATCAGCAGCAATGAATTAAGGAGAAGATTGATTCACTCAAATCAATCTAACCAAAGATTGAGTTATTCAAAACAATCTAAACTCAATGAATCAAATCAAATCTTGCAAGATAAGCATGCCTTTCAAAGAAGATTTGACATTGCTGGAACTCAATCAAAGATGATTTATATTAAATCAAGCATGAGAATAAAAAAGGAAGAACGCCAAAGAAGGAAAGAAACAAGCTGCCCTCACTGAAGCAACGCCTCCATCATTCACGGGATACAGAATTGAAGCAATCACAATCCTAGCGTCTGACTAGGATGAAGTAATCTGGAAGATAGACACTCAAATCAGCCAAGTATCAAGACTACAAGAAGATCCTCAAAAGAAGGAAGAATATTAAGATCACACAAATATCTTCAAGAGAAGGAAGAAAATCAAGATTATAAGAAGATCTCTAAAGAAGGAAAATCAGCGAGTATCAAGATCACATAAATATCTTCCAGAGAAGGAAGAGAATCAAGATCACCAGAAGATCTCCAAAGAAGGAAGGAATCGGCTAGCTCATATGGACATGAATCAACCAGCCGAAATCAAGGACTCAGCTATGATCCTTGATTTGAAATACCCTTGGGTTATTCCTTAACAAGAGCAGTCCTCAAACACTATATAATCCTCTCCTAGCCTTAGTTGTGAAGTACGCACTTCACTTGAACTTATATTGTAATCTTCATTTATCTTTCATAAAGCTTTGTACACACTTGAGTGAACAATTGAAAAGAAAAGAGAAAAAAAGATCTGAGTGTATGTTATACAAGTAGAGATTGTGTCGAAGAAGAAGATCTGATTTGCATATCAGACGGGGCTCTTAATTGTAACATTCTGTAACACCCAAGTTCTCAACAAGCTCTTAAGGAAACCCTTGTAACCCAAGGGGACTGGAAGTAGGCACCACATCGGTGTTCCAAATCAGTATAAACTCTCTGTGTCATTTACTTACTGCTTTTACTATCTCTGTATATCTGTTTAACTAACGTGCAAGTTAGTCGACTGACCAAAGTAGGAAGTCGACTGAAGGAAATTTTAATTCACACTCCCCCCCCCTCTCTTGACTTTAAAAGTGAACAAAGAAAGCAATAATTTAGGGAAAACAATGACAAAAAGGGGCGATGTAAATGGGTCTTGTAAGTTGAAGAAAATAAAGAAAAGGTAATTGAATTTTTTGAGTTTGAGTGAAGAAGATAATGGAAAAGAAAGAATTGAGAAAGTACGAAAAAAAATAAAAGAAAAAAAAAGAAAAAAATATTTTTCTAATTAAATAAATACGGAATTTTTTTATTTTTTTTACTTTTGGCTAAGTTCACTCGCTATTGGAGAGTGAACTACACTCTACATGCCACGTAGACTCATAATGGGATAATAAATTCATTCTAAGTAAGAACAAGATGGTAATAGGACCCCTGCAAAATTTAAGTATCTTCTTAAAAAACAGGTCTTACAATATTCTAATCTATAAGTACTTGTTCAAATTAACTTTTTAGAAAAGTGCTTTTGAAGAGAAATAATTTGTGTTTGACTAATCTTTTTTAAAAAGTATTTTTGAGAGTCAAATTATGAAAAAGGACAAGTATAATATACTTTTAATATTAAGATTATTTTATAGAGAGAAACTATTTAAATCCATTATAAAAAAAGTAATTTATTTTTATTAAATTAAAATGTACATATTAAAATTTTCAATTAATATTATACCTTTTGGGAGGGTTGAAATCTTTAACTGTTTTTTTTTTTCTAATCTCGCAAAAATTTGTTCTTACCTTTTTTTTCTAAATCTACAATTTTTTTTTACATAAAGTAATACATAAAATATAAAATAATAATATTTATACGTAAATAAAATATAAAAAAAAATTCTTAAATGAAACTTAACCAAACTTATGAGATATGCTAATTAATTAGTAAGAGCGAACCCTGGGTATGGAAAAAATCCTGTTGGGAGCGCCACCCACGAATGAGTCCTACAGTGCGCGATCCGAATTTAGTCGGAGCTCTAATGTGAGCTCCAGACGCCGGGTGGAAAACCTAAAAAAGAAGAAGATATATATTGGTAAATATGTATATATTGAAGGAATATTTTAGTGTTGCAAAAAAATAATTATCTATTTTTGCTTCTGCCTTTTTTAAAAAACAGAAATTTTTAGCTTCTTCCCACCAACCGTAAAACTGTTTTACTTCCGTTTAAAAGAAGTTTATTGATCCCTCATTTTTTAAATTTATTTTCCCAAAATAAATGTTTTAACCCGTCAACAACAATGCCAAATAGGATCTAGTGTCATTTCTTAACTTGACCCAAAAATGACATAATATTAAATGAGCTCAGTTACAGTTACAGAACATACCAAAAAAGACGCTAGTTCATTGCCAGACTAAAAAAAGCCAAAAAGAGGAATAGGGGATATTTGCACTTTTGTCTCTATTTTGTGTTGATTTTTAATTTATATTCTTGGTAATAAAAATATTTTTTATTTGAAATAAATTTATATTTTCAGATTATAATAGTTCACAAGTTATGCTCGATCATATTCTCGATTTCTAAAGAACTGATTTTTCAGCAGGTTTAAATTCCATTATCAAAGAAAGCAAATATTAAAAATCAGTCCATATGAATGATAACAATTAAAAACCCGCACAACGTTCAATTTTAAGGTGTAAATTATACTCTCTATTCCATATTAACTGAATTTATAAGACAATATACCCCTGTTAAAAAAAACATTTAAGGACATAATTTAAATCATACTTTCTACTATTATTCTTTGTGAAATCATATATATAACTTTGTAAGTAGCATAATTTATCTCTAGAAAATATCAAACTTTATTTTAAAAAAAAGGACAAATATAGAAAAAAAAAATGATGTAACAATCAAATGGTCAAAAGGGGAGTGAGTCTTCTTTTCCTTTATTTTAACTTGTATTGAATTTCATCCATTTTAAATAAGAGCCAAAAGACTAATATTTCTCGCAGACAAAAAAGGGGAATGGATGCCAAAGAAATTCTTGTTCAAAAAATGAGTTGGAATATTCAACAAGCAATAAAGCTTCTTGTTTTGTTGATTTTAATGGGCTACTTCATGATTTGGATAATGATGCCCACAAACACATTTTATTTGCATTGGTTGCCTCATCTTTATGCTAAACTCAATTCCACTTACTTAGGACAACAAGGTTTCATTTCTCCTAATTCTTCCACCCTTTTATTTGTTTCATTATGCCACGTTACCTCACGTGCGTGCTTGATTCTTTTTTTATGAGGAATGGTAGTGAAACTTGAAACAAGGACCTTTGTGTTAGTTTTGTTACATGTTATTTTGTTTTATGTAATTATGTATGTAACATTCAATCTTCAATACATTTAGTCAATCATTTTTGGACTTTCAAGTGTTCATGCTTTTTGCTTTGCAGGTTCAAACATTTTGATTTATACATTTCCAGTTCTGTTCATTGCTACTTTGGGATGTATTTTCCTCCATTTAGTCAAGTATGCTAATGTACATGATGAAAGGTAGGTAGTGTATTGTTCTATTATGACTTATATGATACTGTAGACATCGAAATTTTTGTAAGACTCTACAAGATGATTTATTTATTTATGGTTGATTTATTTTCCATATGTTTAAAATTTGTTGCAAACAGATACAGTTCCTTTATTTTCTTTGTTGTTTTATGGTAACAGAACCTCAAAAGGTACTCGTTTCGACTCATGGAGTCGACCAGCGATTACGAAAGGTCCTTTAGGCATTGTTTCATGGATAGAATTGTGTTTCTTATTCATGTTCACTGCCCTTCTCATTTGGTCAATCTCATCTTACACACATGGCATGTTCAAGACTATAACCAGACAATCTGCAGCAATGATGGGAGTAAAAGTGTAAGATTTTACTGAAATCTTGAACTCTGTTTCTTGTTTTTAACACAATGACAAGTGAAATGATGGATGAAAATGATGATTGGACAGATGGCAAGCTAAATTACAAAATGTGGCTCTCATGCTAGGCCTTGTAGGAAACATCTGTCTAGCTTTTCTCTTCTTTCCAGTAACTAGAGGATCATCCATTTTGCGACTCTTCGGACTCACATCAGAGTCTAGTGTCAAGTATCATATTTGGCTTGGGCATGCTGTCATGGCTCTCTTCACTGCTCATGGTTTATGTTTCATAATCTTCTGGGCTGATACTCATCAGCTTTCGATAGTATGTCAACGTCTCCCTTGAGTATGAAAATAGAGCAGTACATTGGTGACCTATTTACAATTTTGTTTTGCGAAAAATGCAGATGTTGGAATGGAATAAAGTTGGAATTTCCATTGTGGCTGGAGAAGTGTCCTTGCTTGCAGGAATAGCTATGTGGATGACAAGTTTCCCGCGAATCAGGAGAAAGTTGTTCGAGCTTTTTTTCTATACACATCATCTCTACATTATCTTCGTAGTGTTCTTCGTATTCCATGTTGGATTTACCTACTCCTGCATCACTCTTCCTGGATTTTACCTCTTCTTGATTGACCGGTATTTGAGATTCTTACAATCCCAACAATGCGTTTGCTTGGTTTCTGCACGTGTTTTACCTTGCCAAGCAGTGGAACTAAACTTCTCTAAAAGTCCAGGTGATTAACTCACTCTATGGTACAATGGAATTTCAATCCATTGATACATGTCGTTGTCGCGGTGTTATCATTTTGTATTTTTATATTCTGATTTCAGGGCTATGGTACAATCCAACGAGTTCAGTTTTCATAAATGTGCCTAGTATTTCAAAGTTGCAGTGGCATCCATTTACAGTGACTTCCAACAGTAACATGGAACCTGAGAAACTCAGCATTGTCATAAAAAGTGAAGGGAAATGGTCTCAGAAACTGTTTGAAAAGCTCTCATCGACTACGCCAGGACATCATCTTCAAGTTTCTCTAGAGGGTCCTTATGGACCGAGTTCAACCCAATTCTTGAGGTATCAAACAAATTAATTTCTCAGATGGTCATTCAACTAAAAGTTATCATCTCAGAAAGTGAGTCACTTTCTTTGTGGAAGCTAAGAAAAATGAAATCAAGAAGAATGACGACTTTCTGAGAAAATGACTATTAGTTGAGTGGTTATCTGAGAAATAAACCCGATGTCAAACTATAGATGGAACAGTTACTTTTGGTTTCCAAAATTTCTTACTTGATGTGGAAAATTGCTTGCAGACATGATATGCTAGTTATGGTGAGTGGAGGCAGTGGCATAACTCCTTTTATATCAATCATCAGAGAGCTGATTTATATTGCTGGTTCAACAGGCTGCAAGATCCCAAAAGTTCTCCTTGTTGCTGCTTTCAAGAAATCAACGGATCTCGCCATGCTGGAACTTCTCCTTCCCCTTTCAGGAACCAACTACAATATGTCGCGACTACAGATACAGATTGAAGCATATGTAACAAGAGAGACAGAACCTCTAAAAGACAACCAAAAGTTCCTCAAAACACTATGGCTTAAGCCCAATGCATCAGAAAGACCAGTTTCCGCAGTTTTAGGCCAGAACAATTGGCTTTGGCTTGGGGCTGTAATCACATCCTCTTTCATCATGTTTCTTCTGCTCATTGCCATTCTAAACCAGTATTACATTTACCCCATTGACCATAACACGGGGATGATATATTCGTATTCTGAAAGAGCAGCTCTCAGTATGTTGCTTTTATGTGTGTCTATAGCTGTAACTGCATCAGCTGCCTTTGTTTGGAATAAGAAACAGAAGGCCAAGGAAATGGTGCAGATTCAGAACAACGACATACCAACACCGATGACTTCTCCAGGTACAGGCTCATGGTTTAACAACGCGGATATAGAGCTGGAAAGTCTACCATTTCAAACGTTTACTCGAGCAACACAAGTACACTATGGTGTAAGGCCTAATCTAAAAAGTATGTTAAGCTTGAACTCTTTACTCCTTTTACTACTAGCTAAGAAGCACAAGTACATTATTCTGATGAATTATCTGATATTTTCATTTCTAAAACATAGGGATATTTGTTTTGCAGAGATAGTTACAGAGTGTGAAGAATCAAATGTTGGAGTTATTGTTAGTGGTCCAAGAAGAATGAAGCAAGAAATAGCAACAATTTGTTCATCCTGTGTAGGCACCAACCTTCATTTTGAATCCATCAGCTTTAGCTGGTAATACATGTAGAGTTTGTGCGCGAGTACGGAGGTGAAACTTTGAAAAATTGTATTAAAACTTTATTAAAATATCTAAATGATAGTTGTAATACAATTCGGATTCAATATTATATATTATTATAAATTCAACGACTATTATTTCGGAACAAATATAATACATTTATAACAACGTAAACTAATTTAAATAGCATTGAAATGTATGAAATTCACATATAATACTTTTAACATATTTGTATTAAAAATGTTTCGGTAAGAATAAAAATAGAACTATGATTCGTAATTAAGACAATATATAATTTATTATATCTTAAATATAAAAAATCTTCGAAGGAAAAAAGGAAATTGTGATTTGTTACCAAATAATTTCTCATATAAATCCCGGCGAATACCCTTCTTTCAGAGATTTTGTCTTCTTGCTCGTCGACACCATTGCAGGTTTCTCTTCAGATTTCTCAATCTCTTTTCAGCTCCTTATTCCTACGATTTCCTAACGAAAATGTAATTGCGACTGTCGAAATTACTGTTAAATGTATTTCCATGTTGTTGTATCTTCTACTTTTTCATCAACACCTTCATATTCCTGCTAGCTGATCATTTGATGAACTTGTTTATTCAGTAATGGCTTCGACGCAATATACATACTGGAAAGAAAAGCTTAAAATTGACTTATTTTACATGCTTTAAAGCCAAAACCCTAACTATTAAGCACTCTTGCCTGGGTTAGATAAAATCACTTTTCTATTTAATCGAACACTACAAAAGTGATTAAAAATTATTTTGGCTTAAAATAAGTAAATCCAAAAATAACCTAAATAAGCATGTTTATGAGCTATAAGCTATAAGCTCATCCGAAGAGGTGTTAACTTGCACAGTAGATATAATTTTCAATTTTTAACGAAATCTATTATTTGATGATCATATACAGTAAAATAATGTTTTTTGTCTAGTGAATCATATGGATTGTGTTTATATTGGGTGCTGCATAGAGGACTGTATGTTCCAGTTATATGATGATTGATGAGCTCCCTTTTATACAGAATGGATTTTGAGTTAATTTGTAGACCAGTTAAGTTGGTGATATCCATTACAAGAACTATGGAAGGACATTCTTTATGCATTCAGTTTATAGTTTATTTTCTATGGTGCTTAGCTTGCATGATGTATCTATCTGATAATATGATGTGTTTGATTGATGGTGTTTGTTAACGATGGTAATGACATGACTTTGGCAGGTCGAGAAGTGGACGTTATAATAAATAGAAAATGAACAACACTTCTGCAGGGCTACCCTCAAATGCAGCTAGAGTACGAGGAGCATCACAACCTTCGGAAAGTTCACTTAAAAGGAAACGCGGCATGTTTCAGAAAGACCGTCAGTGACTATTAGATAGATGTGATAATAATATTAATTCACTTCACCTTGTTTAATTTTTTAACATTTCTTTTATTTATTACATAGTGCAACGCATGATGTATGGTTTTGGAGATGTTATCAATGTAAGATGCCTCTCTGTTTCACCTGTTCATCTTTTTGTTGTTTTCATCTGTGTATGTCCATGGTGTTTATACTCGTGAATTGTTATGATTATGGCATGCTGCTTTGCCTAGTTTTTTGTCTCTACATGCATTGATAGTGGGAAAATTTGCAGTTTGTGTGTGTCCAGATTGAATATGGCCTTTACTTATTGCTTTCTGTTTAACGACGTGCTAATAACACCATTCTCTGTCTATGAGAAATACTTTAATCTTCTTAGACAACAGTTCTAAACTTGTGTCTAGGTTCTAGCAAGTAAAAATAATGTTTGGAGGGGCTTTTGGGAGGACTGAGGACCTGTGCTAATTCTTAGGAAAGAACAGAAATTCACGAGTTGGGAGTTCTGTAATGATATTGTCTAGTTGTTTTTAAAAATGGATAACCTTCTTTGCTGGAGTACGGTCCTCTTTCTGTTTTACTGCATGTTGCTTTCCCTGCTCTCCATTATAAAATAGAGATAATTTTGCTGGAAGAATTTCTTCTTGCTATGTTTCCTCTTGTGGCTTTAAGTTTATTGTTTCTTATTTAGTCAACTGATACTGGACTTCAAAAGGAATTGGCGGTTAATGCCTTATAAATATCAAACTTTTAGTCTAAAAGTTGCACTGATTCTGTTTTTCTATGAGTCATTGGTATTATTTCATCCCTTAATCTTTACTGAACTTCTAGTGCTGCACTGTCAGCCAATTCCAGAAACTGTGGCACTTGTGGAAGACATTGTGGTGGATTATGTCACTGATATGGTGAGTTGAATTTACTAGTATCCAGTGCTATTCCTCTTGCATGAAGCTTTGCATTTTACACAATTTAGTTTCTATTAGTATTTGATTGTAGAAGAAACATGCATTTGGTCCTACCATTTTAGCTTTCAACTTGCGTAGGTGCACAAAGCTCAGGATATTGCAACCAAAAGGGGGAAGCTTTTGACAGAGGGCTTTCTGTTCTTAATTAGAAAGGTAGGCCTTCTCATGTACTCAACATGCATATATATACGCATATCTGCATCTGACCGTTCGTTTGTAGCAATATGGTGAATATTTCGTTGAAAAATGTCCTTCCTAATTTTGCTCAATGAGAGGTCTGTGAGTTTTCTATATAATTTTCAATTGAACTTCAAGGAAAATATTAGGACCTGCTGATTAGTGGTACAAACCCATATACAAGTTTCTGGATATATAGCCAAGTGTAGTTGGACAGAAGCTGAGCTTTCTAGTTTGCTCATCTCAAGCCTAATTACTAATTCAAGGTTTTATTTGTTGCAATTATTTTGGCTTACCTCATGTGTGTTAATACTGTTCTCACACTGAATAATTGGTTTTATTATGATATATCATAGTTTAGCATGTATCACCATGATAGAATCAATTTCTTGTATGCTTGTGCCTGATAAATATGAAACTCTTTTGGACTAGTTCAATGCTTCCATGCCAACTAGAAATGCTGAGAATAGTCAGCTTCTTATTATATTGATTTAAGTTGCACGGACTCTTCATTTTTGCTGTTGAATTTCCATGGACAAATTTTGGTGGGGGGGGGGGGGGGGGGGGTTTTTTTTTGGGG